TCGTGCTGAAAGAGAGTGTAGAGGCTGCTAATACTACTACTACTACTACTACCAGCAACCGTAAAGCCCCAGTACATACTACCCATTACCACGTACCATGGGGTCGTCACGCTTTTCCCTCGTGCTGCTGGTACTCCTACCCAGCCTCGCCTCCGCCATTGCCGACTTGGACGAAATTCTTTACTCCGTCTCGAAGCAAAATAAAATCCCACACTCGACGAAGGGACAACTCACGCCCCTTCAGTTACTGAAGGAGAGCGTAGGGCTGCAATACGAGAGACATTCGGCATCGCAGGAAAACGAGACTTATGCACCATACGAAGAAAAGAATGTTATCATAGACGTGGTGCTCAAGACAGTGTTCGATAGTGTGCTGAAACCCATCTACTTGCCGTCCAGTGAAAACGCAAATGAGGAATGCAAAACAGACCTCATGGATAAAAGTTTCTACGACAACCTGAAGGCACGGAAATTATGGGCACTTCAGAGTAAGTCTGTACTTGTTGTTCTTGTTATATATATATATATATATATATATATATATATATATATATATATATATATATATATATATATAGTATATATATATATATATATATGTATTTTTTTTCCTTCCTATCAATTATTGTTTGCCTGTCTAAATAATAGGTACGTTTAGGCAGCCTAAAGTTCATTGGGTTCTTTTGGAATTTACTCACTGGCTAAGTCTTACGAGTAGGCCTATTGGTTAAAGCTGATTCACGTGCCATCTAAACCTTTCAGTCAGCCGCTATCTCAAAACCGTCGCGGGAAATGCACACGTTTCTCTATTCATTTCCTCATATAATAATATCGGTTGGAGATAATTCATTGATGCCTTTTGCAAAATATAGAGTATAGAATGGCGCTTCGTCTCATACATAATTTTAACCTCGCTCCCCCATAGTGGGGTGTGCCCCCCAAAAGTCGAAAAAAATCGTTTGTTTCTTCTTCTTCTTCTTCTGTACATCCTAACTCCCAAAAAAACTATGTTATATCTACCCTAGCCTAAGGCCGTGTAAATGGCTGATTTTTTAATTTCCTTTTTTGGTGTGGAGTACTATTGACGGTCTGCTTTTTCAGCATTAAATAACCAATATTTTTTATTAAGTCCAAAATTCAAAAATCGGCCATTTATATGGCTCAGGGCTCCGAGTCTCTAGCGAAAGCAACAAAATGCGTTTGAATCTCACGAAAATTACGATATTAGTATGTACCGAAGGTAATGTACACAAAGAATGGAGATATGACATTTTATACTTTGGATACTTGCCAAAGTTCGTTATCTATATTATTATTCTCTAAATCTAATGTTATATATATATATATATTATATATATATATATATATATATATATATTATATATGTATATAATATATATATATATATATATATATATATATATACATATAAAACTTAAATAGTGTACTTTGCGAGTCAATTTTCAATAGGGACGCTATTCCGCAAAGGCATAATGCTGTACTGCTTGTTTGTTAGATATTTTGCCTAAAAAGTTTAATAAATGTATTGAACCATAGAGATCAAAACTTTTTTTTTTTTCAAATTTTGAAGAAATGGAGAACTGTGGATGGCAATCTCAGTACAAAATCATCCTAGTTAAAGAGTCCTTCCATGAATACAACACGAGGGTTCAATTTTGAGAATTTCAAAAGCATATGGATTTAGCACATGGGATTCGGGATTTACCAAAGTAGTTGAATTTTCCCCATGCTCCACTCAGGCGGGGGGGGGGTCATTGGGTGTTTATAATTTTCGAGAAGGATCATATGTATGTAAACACATGCACACAAAGTTTTTAAAATTAATCATTCTCATTTAGTAGGCCTACTTCGACTCTAATATGTAAAGGAATAAAATATATTAGTTATCATTATTAAACTGTTTTCTTTGATAATTATCAATAGTAACAGATTGCAATAAGAAACGAGTGGAGTTGGTGATTAGCCATTTGCATTTATTATCTTCACTAAGAACTGTATAAAATAATGCAGACGCCTAAGTGTTTATGGTTGGATATTTGCGTTTTTATGGTACCTAAGACAAACGTAATATTTTTTTATCGGATGCGATAGCTGTTTCAACTCCAGACGAAGACTTCATATACAAACGAGCTTATAATTGTTTTTATTTCAGAGCGGGTATTACTGTGTTCTATCATCTTCAGTATGAAATTATCAGTGTCTCGCTTAGATCTCTGAAGCTCAAAATTCTGACTTATAGGTACCCTTCGTATTGAATTGCCTTTTACAGCGGAAACGAAAAATTTTTAATCGATTCAAATTTCCCGCTACTGTAATGTACCGACCGTTGAGCGAAGTCTAATGGAAATATTTTAATCCTTACTTATACGGCTATTTATAGGTATTAGCGCTTCGTACTCGGTATACATACAGATCACTTCATATGCTACAACTTATTACCAGGGAGTCTTGATGGGAACATATTTCATGTGTAAAAGAACACAAAACGTACCTTATATATATATATATATATATATATATATATATATATATATATATATATATATATATATATATATATATATATATATTATATATATTATATATATGTATATATATATATATATATATATATATATATATATATATATACATACATATATATATATATATATATATATATATATATATATATATATATATATATATACTTCACAAAATATTTCGTCATAAATCACTGTGACATTTTTTTTTTTCTGATATTGGTATAAGAGTGTTCTTTGAACATTCACAAACTCATATTTATGCGCAATGTCATAATCAAATGCCGCATGTACGATTGCAACAAGTAAAAGTCTACATAGGTGTATCTGGGCACTCATTAATGATAATGATAGTGATATAATGATAATGATAGTAATAATAATGATGATGGTAATGGTAAGAACAATGTTAACAATAAAGATAGTACTGCCAATGAATTATACTGATACTAATACTAATATTACTAATATAAACAATAAGGATGATGATAATAATAGTAATAATGATAGTGATAGCAATTATCTTGATATTGATATTAATAATAATATGATATTTTTACAATGGTAAAAATAACAATAATTAAAGATCAAAAAATGATAATAATGATAACAATAAGAGGCAATAATAATGATGGTAAGAAAATTTAACAGTAGTAATAATGACAAGGATAATAGTAATTATGATAATCATGATAATTATTATGATAATAAAAATAATGATAATATAAATAATGATGATAATAATAGCAATAATGATATCAATAATGATAATAATAATAACGATAATGATAATAATAACAGTAGTGATAATAATCATACTACTACTAATAATAATAATGATAACAGTAGTAACAATAATAATGATAACAATAAAAATAACACCAACTAATGAAGAAAATAAAAAATAGATAAATGAAAATAAGATAATGAATAGATAAAGGGACAATGCATGAATAGATAATATGTAACACAGATAATATATAAATGAACAAAGCGATGATAAATAGATTATGAAGAGCTAGAAAAGATAATAAACGTAATACAAAAGGGATGATAATGAATGAAATGATGAAAAATGAAAAATATAGAATAGGGGAAATAAAGAAGAGATAATGTAGAAATGATTAACGAGATGATAAATAAACAAAAAAAAAAACAAAAATAAAAATCCATAAATGAAATTCAGAAATTCAGATTATATATAAGCGATAAATGATAAATAGATTTTAATATATCTTCAAGAAATTATAAGTGAAATGCAAAAGAGAAGACATTATTAAAGAGATGATAAATATTTTCTAAAATATTTTAAAAAGTGCAAAATATATTGGATATACGACCAATGAGATGATAAATACATTTAGTAAAAAAAAAAAAATCAAGAAGATATTGAATAAATGATTAAGGAGATGATGAATAAATTTCAAAATATTCCAAAGAAAACTCAACGAAATATAAAATATGATAAACAAATAATGAAAAAGATGACACGGCGTAAACCTCGTGAAGCGTCTTGGCGACCCTCGGCCTCTCGTCCCGAACCTCTAGAAGGATAGGGTTCAAAGGTTCGAAGCTCGAGGTTCATCTGCCGGATATCTCATCTCGGATTAAAGCAGTCCTTTTCAGGGATCGCGAATCGGGGTAACGAAATGCTGCATCTCTTTTCATACTTTGCTTTCAACGAGATTTCTCTCTGCCTTAGCCTTCTACCCTCTCCTGCTCCCTCCTCCCTCCCCTCCTCTCGCTCTCGCTCGCTCGCTCTCTCTCTCTCTCTCTCTCTCTCTCTCTCTCTCTCTCTCTCTCTCTCTCTCTCTCTCTCTCTCTCTCTCTCTCTCTCTCTCTCTCTCTCTCTCTCTCACTCTTCCCCTCCTTCTCCTTTCTCCCTCTTCCATTTCCTCCGTCTCTTCCTTCTCCTTCTCTTCTTACTCCTCCTATCTCTCCTCCTCTTCCCTTCTCCTCCCCCCCTCCTCCTCTTCATCCTCTTCCTCCTACTCCATTCTCCTCCCTCCTCCTCCCTTCTCCTCCCCCTCCTCCTCCTTCTCCTCTCCCTCCTCCTCCTCTTCGTCCCCCTCCTCCTCCTCTTCCACCACCCTTCTCCTCCTCCACCACCCTTCTCCTCCCCCTCCTCCTCTTTTTCCAACTCCCTCCTCCTGCCCCTCCCCCTTTTTCCAGCGCCCTGCTTCCTCCATGATTTTAAATTCCTTTCCTCTTTTTTTTCCTTCAAAGTAAGGATTAGTTTTAGGACGTCTTGGAGAAGTTTCGTCTTGAAGAAACTGTCTGATTTACCTTTTAGATGAGGAAGGAGGCGTAGAATGCTGTGGCATCAAATTCAAATATCCTACATGTAATTTCCTATCATTTCTGTGATGATTCCGGTCCTATCTGCTTGGGTAAATCCCATTATGATTGGTGTAATCATGTACAAAATCTGGCGTGTCATATTCAAAGACTAATCCATATCAGATTTTATTCTTGCAGTGATCAGTAGATAGAATTGCAGCATTTCATTTTAAATTTATTAATTTAATTTTTTTTCTCTCTCTATCTTTATTTATCTATCTACCCATTTATCTATCTATCTATGTAACTCACTGTTTCCTACTTTCTCTCTCTATCTATATATCTATCCATTTATCTCTCTATCTTCCTATTGCTCCCTTTACCTCCCCTCTCTCTATCTATCTATCTATATATCTATTTGTCTATCTATCTCTCTCTCTTCATCCCTCCTTCCCTCACCCTTCTTCCTTCTCCCCGGCCTTCTCTTCTTCCCTCCCTCATTCTCTCCCTCCCTCTTCTTCTTTCTCCCTCTCCTTCCCTCCCTTTCCCTCTCCTCTTTCCCACCCCTTTTCCCTTTCTCTTATTCTCTCCCAACCGACCTCCCTCTCTCTCTCTCTTCTTCCCTACATCTCTCCTTCCTTGCCTCCTCTCATCCCTTTGCCTCTCATCCACTCTCTCCCTTCCACCCTCCTTCTCTCCCTTTCTCTCCTTCCTCCCATCCTCCTTCTCTCTATCTCCCTCCTTCTTTCCCTCCCACCCTCCTTTTCAATCCCCCCCTTCTCTCTGTCTCTCCCATCCTCTCCCTTTCTTCCTTCCTCCACACTCCTCCCAATCTCCCTCCTTCCCTCCCTCCTTCTTTCCCTTTGTTCATCCTTCTCAAACACCCCTCTCTCCTCTCTCCACCCGTCTCCCACACTGTCTCCCTTTTCTCTCCTTCCTCCTCTCTATCTCCCTCCTGCTTTCCTACCCACCCTACTTTTCTATCCCTCCTTCTCTCCTTCTCTCCTCCCTCCCTTACTCTCCTTCCTCCCACCCTCCTTCTGTCTATCTCCCTCCTTCCCTCCCTCCTTCTACCCTCCTGCTACCCTCCTTTACTCTCCTTCTCTCCCACCCGTCTTCATACACTGTCTCCCTTTCTCCCTTTCCTCCCACCACTCCCTCCTTCTCTCCCACCCCCTCTCCCTTTCTCTCCTTCCTCCCACCCTCCTTCTCCCAATTTTCCTCCTTTCCCTCCTCCTTCTATCCCTCCTGCTACCCTCCTTTTCAAACACCCTTCTCTCCATCTCTCCCACCCGTCCTCCCACATTGTCTCCCTTTCTCTCCTTCCTCCCACCCTCCTTCTCCCAATCTCCCTCCTTCTTTCCCTTCGTTCCCTCCTTCTCAAACACCCGTCCTCCCACACTGCCTCCCGTTCTCTCTTTCCTCCCACCCTCCTTCTCCCAATCTCCCTCCTCTCCCACCCCCTCTCCCTTTCTCTCCTTCCTCCCTCCCTCCTTCTTGCTATCTCCCTCCTTCCCGCCCTCCTTCTTTCCCTCCGTTCCCTCCTTCTCAAACACCCTTCTCTCCTTCTCTCCCACCCGTCCTCCCACATTGTCTCCCTTTCTCTCCTTCCTCCCACCCTCTTTCTCCCAATCTCCCCCCTTCCCTCCCTCCTTCTTTCCCTCCTGTTACCCTCCTTCTCAAACACCCTTCTCTGCTTCTCTCCACCCGTCCTCCCACATTGTCTCCCTTCCTCCCTCCCTCCTTCTCCCAATCTTCCTTCCTTCCCTCCCTCCTTCTTTCCCTTCGTTCCCTCCTTCTCAAACACCCCTTCTCTCCTTCTCTCCCACCCGTCCTCCCACACTGTCTCCCTTTCTCTCCTTCCTCCCACCCTCCTTCTATCTATCTCCCCCCTTCCCTCCCTCCTTCTTTCCCTTCGTTCCCTCCTTCTCAAACACCCCTTCTCTCCTTCTCTCTCACCCGTTCCACCACACTGTCTCCCTTCTCTCCTTCCTCCCTCCCTCCCTCCTTCTCCCAATCTCCCCCCTTCCCTCCCTCCTTCTTTCCCTTCGTTCCCTCCTTCTCAAACACCCCTTCCCTCCCACCCTACTTCTGTCTATCTCCCTCCTTCCCTCTCTCCTTCTACCCTCCTGTTACCCTCCTTCTCAAACCCCCTTTACTCTCCTTCTCTCCTCCCAGTGGTGGACTCCTGGGGCAAACTTCCCGACGGCTTCTTCTTCGGTAACCTCCGCTCTACTGGGATGTACGAAGAATGCCTGAACGTGTGGGCGAACTTCACCATCAAGTTGGGCATCCTCGGGCCGACAGAACTCAGGAACTACACTGGGCGCTACTGTCAGATTTATTACGAGTAGGTTGTCGGGGTTTCAGGGCACTTTTGTTGCTGTTGTTGTTGTTGGTTTGAGAAATTATGATGCTAGTTCAGATAAAGAGGATGTTGATGATAATAGGTATAATATGATGATGATTATAAAAATGACAATAATTATGATAATAATAATAATAATAATGATATTAATAATGATAGTGATGATAATGATTATGATGATAATGATTATGATGATAATGATAACAATGAAAATAATGAGGGTAATGATAACAACGACAACAACATAGTGCACTGTGCTATTTTTTGAGGTCCGGAGGATAAGGATAATTATCCTTATCTTTCCCTGTGTGGCTAAAGTAGGTGATGCTTCAAATCTGATAGAAAATGAATTGGTAAATATTTACAAAAAATAATTAAAGTCTTATTATAGAAGTCCAAAATTCTACATGGAAGTTCCGTGCTTTGGGTTCGTGTTTGGGTTTTCATGTGTGTTAATGTGCAGAGAGGGATCCTGAAATGATTACGTGCGTGTATATATTCATAAACATGCGTGCACACACTAAAGCATTAAAAAAGAAAGAGAGAAAGACAAATAGACAGTGTGTGTGTGTGTGTGTGTGTGTGTTTACGTGTGTGAATACGGATGATTTTATATCAATGATTTATTAATAATTCCCTTCCTTCCAACTGCTTTTACGTGTTACAGACAAACTAACAGCAATTTATACCAAGTGCAGTAAACCTGAAATGAAGAATAAGAATTTATTATGATAACTTCCAAGAACAGCTCACAATAACCCATATGATCTCATTATCAATATCAACCATGTACTTCCTTTCCACTATTTTTTTCTCTCTCCGTTGCGTCTTATAACTATCGGTCTTTCTTTTATACTATCTCTCTCTCTCTCTCTCTCTCTCTCTCTCTCTCTCTCTCTCTCTCTCTCTCTCTCTCTCTCTCTCTCTCTCTCTCTCTCTCTCTCTCTCTCTCTCTCTCTCTCTCTCTCTCTCTCTCTCTCTCTCTCTCTCTCTCTCTCTCTCTCTCCTCTCTCTCCTCCTCTCCTCTCTCTCTCTCTCTCTCTCTCTTTCTCTTTTTTCTTACTTCCCCTCTTCCCCACTTCTCTTTCTCCTCTCCCCTCATCCTCCTCTCTCCATCTTCCCCTCTCCTCCCATCCCATCCTCATCTCTCATCTCCTCCCGCACCTCCTACAACTCACACGCCTCACACCTCACAGCTTCACACTCACACCTCGACTCACACACTCATATTCTCACCCATGGCAGTTACAGGTTAATGGTCGTCAGTAACTGCTAAATCAGTTTATGGCTTCTGGCTTCTCTTATATTCTAGCACGTTGATGGAATACCAACTTATATATTCATAGACGGATAGGTTGATAGAAAGGTAGATTTATAGCTGGATGGTGAGATGGAGAGATAAATGAGTAGATGGGTAAATAGATAGATAGATGGAGAAATAGATAGGTAGGTAGATGGATGGGTTAGGCAGATACGTAGCTAGATAGATAGATAGATAGATGGGGAAGATAGATAAATAGATAGATAGATGGATAGGTAGATAGACATACAGATAGATAAATAGATGGATGGATAGATAGAATGATAGACAGATAGAGGGATAGTTGGATAGATAGATAAAACGATAGGTTGATAGATAAAGATATATAGATACATGTAGTTATAGATATCTGCATAGACGTAGACATGTATATTTAAATATGAAATTGTGTGTGAATAAATGGATAGATTTATATGACTATATATTTATAGCATGTTAATTGAAGTTAATTAACGGACGAGGATATTCGAACATACTTCAGTTCCGCATAAAAAGAAAAAAAAAAAAAACATTTTGCCGCGTTTATGATAAAAAAGAAAAAGAGAAAAATCTACGTTAAACAATATGGAGAGAAAAAAACTGAAAATCATAATAAAAGATTTACCGTTATCCCTTCACTTATGTTAGCTACCAGAAACCTCAGTAACGAGAGTCGGTAATACCAGGTACAAATTGATCTTCAATTAGCTAATGTACTACCAAATAACAGATAGAATTATTTTAATGGAATCTCACTGCATTGTTGATTGTGCAAGCTCTTACATTTTCCTGCCTTATTTCCTATCGGTTTCCTCCATTACCTACAACATATAATGGTATTATTAATATAAGAGTCATAGATGTTGATTAAGACATTCTGCTTAAGGAAGTTCATAGATATTGGTATAGTCATAAGAATAAAAGGATGAATGAATATAAGAATAAATTCATGTAATGAACGTATGTGTGATTAAGTACTAAAGATGACTTTATTTTTCATAATTACATAACCTTTTAGGATACGTATTAGAGAATTTCGAAATGGTGTTGAAATAAGATAATGTTGTATTTCGAAAGCATTGTTCAGAGAGGTCTCGTTACTACTGCTTCGTATCAAACGCATTTAAAATAATGACTATATTATTGAATTCTAAGATGTTACTGATATTTCCAGTTCCCCGTTTTCATTTAGAGTTGGAATTTACTGCGAGAAGTCAAAAACGGAAGCCAAAATATTGGTCAGAGAATAGATTTCTAACTAAATCGAAAAGGGTTTTTAAATGCAATTTGTCAGTTTGTTACTGTATTGTTACTGTATGCAAAAGGAGTAAACTCTACGGTACGACCAAGCCACGTTTCAAAATTCGACCGGCCTAGCGCTACGCAAACTGAGTTGGCACGAATACTCATAGCCACCGAATTTCTATTGAATCAAGGCTCAGGGGTCAATTCTGTGATTCACAAAGTGCTCTCCATGCTTTGAACAATCCAGACAAATGTGCAGGAAATACTGCAAATGAAGTCAGGATAAAAGTGTACCGTGCAAAAAAAACGAGGTCGTGATAAACATTTTGTGTGGATACCATCGCATGTTGGAATCCCCTAGGACATGATGCATGCTGACTGCATAGCAAAATCAGCATGTGGCAAGCATAGTGTGGATATAGATTTTGGAGCACCTCTTGCTAGGATTTCACACATCATTATAACTTCCTTCTAAGACGATTTGACTGAGTTCATTAATTCTCAACGGCCTGAAAGGTGTAGCATAAAGCATGATGATCGGTTTACGCAAAATACATTCATCTATAATCAATATAAAATATAAACAAGAATCAGACTTGGATATAGATTGTATTTTCAAGTCAGTACAGTCTGTAATATCGAGTATAAGTGTAAACAAGGTAATGAAGAACACAAGCAAACATTTATACGTTGCATCTCAGAGTGTCATGTGTTACAGACAGACTTTCAGACCACCCAGCATGAGGTTCAGAGAATACATATGTATACGTATATGTACATGTGTGTGTGTGCCTGTGTGTCTGTGTTTATATCTGTTGCGTTTGCTTTGCATGCGTGTACGTATATTCACATATATATAAATAATAAACAAGCACATATGTAGTAACCCTTCTATGATAACGCTCATCGCAGCGCCTTCCCCCTTCGCCAGCCTGGCTCCCAAGAACGAATCTCAGCAGGACCTCAGGAGCGGCATTCCCATGGAGGACCCGAGCTCTCCTCTGCCCTTCTCCTACGGCACCTGCATCCCCTCCTCCTGCACCGCCGAAGACATGTGGGTGAGTTCCTTGAAGGCGTTCGTGGATCATAATGCTGTTGTTCTTTATTACTCTTTCTATACTCTTTTCTGATACTATCTATTATACATATATATATATATATATATATATATATATATATATATATATATATATATATATATATATATTTTTATATATTCAATTTTCCAATCATAGTTTATTACTCTCATATCTTATCCGTTCTGTTTCGTCCGTTTGTCAATCGCCTTCTTATTTTCCAACTAAAATAGATCAAAATTAACAAATTTATCTTATTCTTCAAGATCCTATAGCATTCTCTGTTCACGCTATTCATATATATACATATATATATATATATATATATATATATATATATATATATATATATATATATATATATATATATTATATATACATATTGTATATATATATATATATATATATAATATATATATATATAATATATGAATTTTATATATTCAATTTTGTCAATCATGTTTTATTACTCTCAATATCTTATCACGTTCTGTTTCGTCCGTTTTGTCATCGCCTTCTTATTTTTTTCCAACTATAAATGATCAAAATTAACAAATTATCTTATTCTTCAAGATCCTTATACATTCTCTCACCTATCATATATATATATATATATATATATTATATATATATATTATATATATATATATATATTATATTATATATATATATATATATATATATACATATATGTATTATATATATATATATATATATATATATATATATATATATACATATATTTTTTTCTTCTTCTTCTTCTTTCTTCTTCTTCTTTCTTCTTCTTCTTCTTCTTCTTCTTCTTCTTTCTTCTTCTTTTCTTCTTTTTTCTTCTTTCTTTTCTTTTTCTTCATTGATTAAGTATTACGTTAATTTCTCGCTCAGATTTCGGTCAATGAAACCCTGGCGTCTCTGGGCCTTGTTCTCTCCCACATCGAGTGTTATAAACGTGGACGACCCTCCTGAGGACCTCACACCTGGCGACGAAACCATGTTGTGGGTATTTCTCGTTTTGTTTTCTCTCTTTCTCTCTTGGAAAGGGCTCTTTTTTCGCGTCTCTGTCTCCCCTGTCTCGTACTCTCTTAATCGCTCTCTCTCCTCTCATCATCATTCTCTCTCTCTTCTCTACTCTCATTCTCCTCTTCATCTCTCTCTTCTCGTCTCTTCTCAATCTTCTCTCTCGTCTCATCAATCTTCTCTACTTTCTCTCTTTCTCTACTCTCCTCTCTCTACTCCTTCATTCATATCTATATCTCTCTCTCTCACTACTCTCTATCACTCTCCTTAGCGTCATTCCACTCTCCTCTCTCTCCGTCTCTTTACTCTCTCGTCTCTTCTCCTCTTTCTCTCTTCGTCTTCTCTCTCTCTCTTCTCTCATCTCTTCATCTCTCTCTCTCTCTCCTGCTATCCGTCGTCCCTTCTGTTTATTTTCTTTGATGATTATTGTTTTCTCTTTTGTTTCTTTTTCTTATTTCGTTTTGTCTATCTGTCTGTCTGTTTCTGTTCTCCCTCTTTCTTTTTCTTTCTCTCTTCTCTCCTCTCACTACTCTAATACTATCAATCTATCTAATCTATCTATCCTCTTCCCTTCTCTCTCTCTCCTTCTCACCTCTCTCTATCTCCTCTCTCTCTCTCCTCTCTCGTACCTCTTAGCTATCTCTCTCTCTCTTCTCTCTATCTTTCATCCTTCTTCTCTCTCTCAATCTCTCTACTACTATAAGTACTCGTCAGTCTTCTCTCTCTCTCTCTCTCTCTCTCTCTCTCATCTCTCGTCTCTTCATCTCTCTGTCTTCTTCTATATTCTTTCTCTCTTCTCTTACTCTCTCATCTTATTCGCGCTCCTCTCATCTCTCCTTCAGCTCTCTCTCTCTCCACTCATTCATCATCACTATATCACTCGTCACTGCTCTTTATTCTCATCCTTTCTCTCCATCTCTTCTGTCTCTCCTTCCTTCGTCTCATCTACTCTCTTTAATCATGCCTGCTACTTCAAGGTGTCGTCTTCTTTACTCTCTCTCATTCTCTCAATCTTCTCTTATCTCTTCTTCTCCTTATCTCTCTTCTCTTGTGTACCACTGCTATTTATCTATCTATCTTCTTCTCGTTCTTTTCCTTATGCATTCTTTTTTTCTTTTGTTTCCCTTATGTCATAGGTTTCATTTACTTCGCATTATCATAATTGCCCATAAAAAAAAGGGAAATCTAAAATAGGTTCCCTCATTCAGGTGGCGTTTCTCATAGGGGTATATTGATTTTGGGAGGTACTCGTCGCCCTCTCAACCATCTATGGACGTCCCTAACAAGTATTTATAATACTCAGCTCAACAGGAGCCCTCAATGCGAGCCGGTATTGTGCTTTTGCAGTTCGTGGTTTGTATTTTTTAAATTGTTTATACTTATTATAGCATTTTGTTTATTGTTTGTATTACTATTATCCATTTTTAATATCTTACTATATTCATTATCATTATTACCATTCGAGTGTATCATTATCAGCATTTAATTGGTTATCAATTAATGATTATTATCATATTTTTGGCTAAATTATTTACATGTATGATTACATGATATTTGATTGATTGTTGTTTTTTCTCAATTAATGTTATTAATTCATTATATTGCTATTATTAATTTTATGCAATTATCTGTATTATCATCATTGTATCATTATTCATCAATCATCATCATTCACAATTTTATTATTATGCAATTGGATTAATTATCATGTATCATTAGCCATCAATCATCTCGTATATGTTTCTCAAATAATGGTCAGGGTTGTTGGATTCAATCTATCATTATTTAAATATATTATTTTTATCATTACCATTATCGATATTGTTATTCATTATTATTGTCATTATTATCAATTATTGCTATTATTAATCATTGATATCATGAATTTTATCTTATATCCATCATTATTATTGATAATTAATAAAATAATAACCTATTACAGTTACACTTATCTACTAATCATTATCATACATTGGCCATTTATCAATTATCATTATTATTATTATCATCCAATTTTACTAATCGCTATCATCTATTATTCATTATACATATCAGTATTATCCATTAATTTTATAAAATCATTTACCTTTATGGTTAACCAATATCAATAATGTCCATTTTGATATTACACAATTGGGTCATCAGATAATGACACTAAATGACAAATGATAGTGATAAACAATAAATAAACAACAAAAACAATAATATCAGTACCACCAACAAAAACACTGATACAATGATCATACAACTTAAATATATAACATTACCTTCTCGTACATTCCATGCGCCGCATGGCAAAAAATATTCCATAGGGAGTTTTCCTCTATATGGTAATAGTTGCAGGCGAATATTTACATACAAGATATCAGAAAGTTCTAAATAGTGATGTCACACCTTGTCTTCCGGGGCTCTGAGCGTACGTTGGTTGGCTGCTTCGTGTACTGTCCTGTCTGTTTGTCTGGTTCTAAAGATTGTCGTCTGTTTTGTCAGTTATTTTGTTGTTTTTGTCTGGTCTGTATTTTTTGTCTGTCTATTTTGTCTGTCTTTTCTCACTCTGTTCTGTCTGACTGTTTGTTTTTGCTTGTTCTCTGTTTGTTTGGTTGTCTTTTCTAGTTTGTCTATCTGTCTGTCTGTTGTTGTGTTCGTCTATTTTGTGTCTGTCTGCCATGTCTGTCTTTCTGTCTGGCTGTTTAGTCTGTTCTGTCTGTCTTTCTGTCTTTACCTGTCTTTCTGTTCTGTTTCTGTCTGTCTGTTTCTCTTGTTGTTTTGTGATTTCTCTTCTGTCTTCATGCCTATAAAATCTTTTTATTATCTGTCTTTCTTTCTTTCTCTTTCGGTTTTGTCTTGCTGTCTTCTGTCTGTCTGTGGTGTGGTTGTGTTGTGTGCTGTTGTGTGCATGTGTGTGTCGTGCATTGTGTGTGTGCCGGTGCCGCCGTGTGTGTGTGTGTTGTCTGTGTGTTGTGTGTGTGTGTGTGTGTATGATGTGTGGTTGTGTGTGTGTGTGTGTGTGTGTGTGTGTGTGTCTTTGTGTTTTGAAAAAAAAAAAAAAAAAAAAAAAAAAAAAAAATAATTATATATATATATATATATATATCATATATATATAATATATTATATATATATATATATATATATATATATATATACCTATCCATCAGTCTATCTCTCCATCTATCTATGAATTCATCTGTCTTCCTCGCCGTATTAACGAAGACTCCGTTCACAGGGTCGTGACGATGTTATGGATCATCGTCAGTGTTCAATATGAAGTCGCCACAGATTACATAACTAACACCGTCGATGCCCTTCGTGTAAGTATGGCCGAGATGCAGTCTAGATAGATAAATAAATAGATAGTATGATAAATGATAGATAGTGTAATGATATAGTAAATATAACAAATTGATATGATATAACAGTATGATAATGTAATATGGTATACTATAGTTATATTATGACATAATAATAATGTGATATAATGATATGATAAACAGCATAATGAATAGAAAATAGATAATGAATAGATAGTAGAATTTAATAGCATTACTGCTGTTGATTCTGTTCAAGAGATGTCGTTGATAACCATCACTATGGGATCTTTACTTTCCTTTACTATACTGATTATAACATTATGATATCAAATATTATCATCGTCTATCAAAACTATTTTGGAGTCCTCGTTTTGAACTATCTTTATTGACTATACTCCATAATTTAAATTTCAACTACCATCTGTGTCAACGGAGAAGAAATAAAGGTTTTTGGTGAAATTTAAATCCCTCACAGGCCAATCATTCTTCTTACCTTCCTCTGGGTCATTTATGATCATCCCCGGGCCATGAGTTTGACACCCCTGCCCTATAATATATATTGCTCTCATCATTACTATCATTACTATAATTACTCTTACTTTTATAATTACCGTGATCCTATCTGTTCTCTTCCTACCCTTTTGTCCTCTCTTCTTCCTTCCTTTCTGCCTTCGTTTTCTCTTCTTCCTTAATTCCCTTCCTTCTTTTTTTCTATCTTCTCTTCCCTCCCTCCCTTTCTCCTTCCATCCCTCCTTAACTTCTCCCCCGCTTACCTCTTTCTTCCCTTCCCCTCCCTTCCATCCATCTCTATTTCCCTACCCTCCTTCCTCTATTCCATTCTCTCTTCCACCCTTCCTCCCTTCCTCTCTCCATCATCCTCCTCTTTCTCCTCTCTCTTCCTCTTTCTCTCCGTTCCTTTTTAACTCTTTCCCTTCCCTCCTCCCTTCCGTTTCCCACCCTATTTTCCACCCTTCCTCCTCCCCCGGGTACCCGCCTTCTCTCTCAACCCCCCTCTACCTTCTCCCTTCTACCCTTTCCCTCCTTTCCACTCTCCATTCATCTCCTCCTTCTATATATATCCTCTTCCTCTTCTCCCTCCCCTCTCTTCCCTCCTTCCTCCCCCTTCCACCCTTCCCTCCTTTCCCCTCCCTACCTTCTATCTTCCCTGCCCTCCCTCCCATGCATCTCTATTTTCCTTACCCTCTTCCTCTCCATTCCTCTCTTCCACCCCTTCCTCCCTTCCTCTCTCCATCCATCCTTACTCCTCTTTCTCTCTCTCTCTTCCTCTTTCTCTCCGTTCCTTTTTAACTCTTCCCTCCCTCCTTCCCCTTTCTTTCTCCCTCCATCCGTATTTTCCACCCTTCTTATTAATAACTCCATCCCTCTTTGCTCCTCCTCTCTCCGTCCTTCTCTCTCAACCCCCTCTACCTTCTCCCTTCTACCTTCCCTCCTTTCCCACTCTCCATTCATCTCCTCCTCTCCTCCCACACTATCTACTCCTCTTCCTCTCTCCCTCTTCCCCCTCCTTCCCTCCTTCCTCCCCTTCCACCCTTCCCTCCTTCCACCCTCCCTTACTCTCCTCCTCTCCATCCTACACTATGTGCTCCTCTTCCTCCTCCTTCCCTCCTTCACCTCGCTTCCACCCTCCCTTCCTCACCTCCTCTCCTCCCACACTACCTACTCCTATCTCCCTCTCTCCCTCTCCTTTCCCTCCTTCGCCTCCCTTCCACCCTTCCCCTCCTTTCCACCCCCCCTCCTCTCCTCCTCTCTTCACACACTACCTACTCCTATTCCTTCTCTTCCTACTTCCTTCCCCCTTCCCCTGCTTTCCACCCTCCTTCCTCACCTCCTCTCCTCCCACACTACCTACTCCGTTTCCCTCTCCTCTTCCTTTCCCTCCTTCGCCTCCCTTCCACCCTTGCTTCCCTTCCACCCACCCTCCCCTGCCTCCCCCCCCCCCCACTCCTTCTCCTCCCACAGTACCAAGACCCCCTAATAGGCCAAATAGTGACCAATGGCTGGCTGGCTGTGGACACGTTCCTCTTCCTGGGGGGTCTTCTCGTCACCTACCGCCTCCTGCCCTTCGCCGTGCCCTCCAGACCTATGCGGGCGGGGCAGATGTTCGCCCTCTATGCTAAGAACTTCGTCAGGAGGTTTTTTAGGTCGGTATGGGCGTGGTGGTTTGGGGTGGGGTGATTGGGTGTGGATGTGTGTGGGTGAGATGGTGGGTGTGAGGATGTGGATGATTGCGTGTGTTGTTTGTGTCGTGTGTGTGTGTGTTACGTGTGTTGTGTGTGTGTGTGTGTGTCCGTGTGTGTGTTTTGTCTGTGTGTCCGTGTATTGTGTGTCCGTGTGGTGTTTTGTGTGTGTGTGTGTGTGTCTGTGTAGTGTGAGTATGTGTGTGTGTGTGTTTGTACTGCTGAGTTATTATACCTATACGGTGTACTAGGCTATGCACAAGGGATACTATATGCAAAGGATAGCCCCATTGCTATGAATTCTGCTTCACACCACAGCAGAGCCCCAGATGGTTGGCCCGAGGTAAGGCAAGGCCACGGTTAACTGCCTGACATAGATGGCCTCACGTCTAATGCACGACCACTCACGCTCTTCCACGACCGCTAACGACTACTCACATCCTCTTATGGCCACTCGCGACCACTTACAGCTTGTGACGACCATTTCCAGCCTTTCGCGTCTAATCATGACCACCTACGACCACCTATAAACACTCACGACCCTTCAACGACCACTCATAACCAGCTAACGCCCACGCCACATCCCACCACCACCCACGCCTCCTCCCACCACCACCTACGACCACTCACGACCTCTCCCTCCCTCCACAGATTATCCCCAGTTCTTCCCTTCTTCTCCGCGACTCTTCTGCGCTTCTTCGCCGCGGGCCCAAGAGCGGATGTTCTGACGTCCTTCAAGAGCGGACCGCTTGACGCACTGGTGGAAGGATCCGCTCTTCGGTAAACAGGATACATCGCTCGGTCACAACTAATCTGATGTAATGAAGGAGTTAGAGGGGAGGGGGAGGGAGGGAGAGGGAGAGAGGGAGAGGAGGGTGGAGGGGAGGGAGGGGTGTGGGTAGGGTGGGTGAGAGAGAGAGAGAGGAGGAGAACGAGAGAGATGGAGGACTAGGGAGATGGATGGAAGAAAGGTGGGAGAGAGGGAGGATGGTAGGGAGAGAGAAAGAGGCGGAGGAAAAAGTGAGAGGGAGGATTAGAGAGGTGGGATGGAAGAAAGGATGGGAGAGAAGGAGAGAGGGATGACGTGAAGGGGGGCGGAGGTAGGATGAGAGGGAGGGAGGTGTGTTGTTGGTGGTTTAAATTCATACAGACTGATATATTACGAAATGAAGGAAAGATTGAGAGGTAGAACAAATATATAGACAGATAGATAGGGCTGATTAACTGAGATTAATAAATAGAAGAAAAGAAATTATTAACAGATACATAGGGCTGAGTACCTGACTTCAAAAATAGATAGATAGACATATATTCACTCTTATATATAATTCTAATCTCACAGACCATCCCACACTTCCGCTATGCAATGCGAGTGTCGTCATGCAATGCACGGAGAAATATAACTGCAACAGAAAAGAAGGCAAATAAACGCCCACCTTTCAACCCAAGACAATCCTTTTAATTTCGCCAAAGTCAAAGTACGTTTAGACAGAATAGGCAAATCGCGCTTCCCTGTGCTACGCGAATAGCCCGGAATAAACCCTTTAAACGCAATTAGAATGGAAATCTTACGAGGGCAGAGGCTTGCAACTCCTCCTGCGCGAGAGATTGCAATAAACTCCACACTGATTCGGGTGAAACGGCGCCCACGGTCTGAGTGATGGCTTCAGGGGCGCCGGGAGATATGGCTCCATAAAACAATAATGGCAGCGAGGGCGTGAATAGAGTACGCCCGTTGATCTTCTCTCTCGGTCGCTTTGCTCCCTCATTCCTTCGTCTCTGTCTCTTTCTCTGCCTTTGTCCTTGGTCTTTGTCTGTCTTTGTCTCTTCTCTCTCTCTCTCTCTCTCTCTCTTTCTCTCTCTCTCTCTCTCTCTTCACTCTCTCTCTCTCTCTCTCTCTCTCTCTCTCTCTCTCTCTCTCTCTCTCTCTCTCTCTCTCTCTCTCTCTCTCTCTCTCTCTCTCTCTCTCTCTCTCTCTCTCTCTCTCTCTCTCTCTCTCTCTCATCTACTACCTCCATTCATAAATAGATGAATATAAAAGTATATCTCCTCTCTCTCTCTCTCTCTCTCTCTCTCTCTCTCTCTCTTCTCTCTCTCTCTCTCTCTCTCTCTCTCTCTCTCTCTCTCTCTCTCTCTCTCTCTTCTCTTCTCTCCCCTCTCTCTCTCTCTCTCTCTCTCTCTCTCTCTCTCTCTCTCTCTTCTCTCTCTCCTCTCTCTCTCTCTCTCTCTCTCTCTCTCTCTCTCTCTCTCTTCTCTCTCTCTCTCTCTCTCTCTCTCCTCTCTCTCTCTCTCTCCTCTCTCTCGCTCTCCCTCCCTCCCCTCTCCCTCTCTCCCTCTCCCCTCTCCCTCTCCCTCTCCCCTCTCCCTCTCACCCTCTTCCCTCTCCCTCCTCTCCTCTCCTTCTCCTCTTCTCCCTCTCCCCTCCCTTTTCCTATCCCTATCCCTATATCCATATCCCTTCCTCACCTCTCTGCCTCACTCACTCACTCGCGCCCCTTCTCCCTCTCAGTGCCTGGATCACTGCTGGTACACTGCAGTCGATATGCAGCTTCTCCTGATTCTCCCTCTGTTGCTGCTGCCTCTCGGTCTCCACCGCGTCGCAGGTAAGTGATGGGAATCTGGAACCATAGACCCTGATGCCTTTTTTATCTCACGCCCTCACGTCTTTTATCATTATCGTATTTTAGCGACGGATTAGTTTCTTCGTCGGTTGATTATGTCTGAATTTATGGGTTTCTTTCTTAGGTCATCTATCTCTATCTCTATCTGTCTATCTATCAATTTATCTGCCTGACACGCACGCGTGTGCGCGCCGCGCGTGTGTGTGTGTGTGGTGTTGATATATATATATATATATATATATATATATATATATATATATATATATATATATATATATATGTGTGTGTGTGTGTGTGTGTGTATGTATGTATGTATGTATGTATATGTATACATATCCATATAAACAAAAACCAATACATATACACACATGAACCCCCTGCCTCTTCCCCCCGCAGGCCTCTGCTGGCTGGGCGCGGTGAGCCTCGGGTCCATCCTCACGCCCATGAGCATCATCCTGGTGCACGACCTCCCCCCGGTGCCGCTCCACGTCATGTCGTGGGTGTTATTTAGATATATTTTTATGCTGTTGCTTCCTTTTCAGATGTTTTCTTCTTCCTTTTCTTCTTCTTCTTCTTGTTCTTTTGCTTAATTCCCCTTATTTTAGTGGTATTTGTATTTACGTTACGTTTAGGGATAGAGATGATAGTATATCGTCCTTTTATTTCGGTTGATATGAATTTTGTTTTGTTTTTCTTTTTGTTTTCCAAGTGCTGGCTTAAATGTTTACGTTTAACGCACCATCAGCAAGTGTAAGGCACTAGATATGTACATAGATATCCATTATATAAATAGACAGATAGAAATTTAGACAGACAGACAGACAGATATGCAGAGAGAAAAAAGGACGCATACTAATCCACAAGCGACTTGTATAAAAGAATTATATCTCTCCACAAAAGTAACTAAAATTTTAACACTCTCCCATAATTAGAATATCAGTATTACTATAATAATCAGAAGAAAGGATATATTAATACTTTTTTTTAAATAAGTTCACCTTTTGGCTTAAAAAAGACACAAACTTTCCGTATTTTTCTCGTGACGAACCCAAGCTTTGAGTAACGATTTTCGAAAATAACTGATTCCAATAGTTTGAAAGCTACTATTTTTTTTTTTTCTTTGTATAATCTCTCAGGAATAATAAGGACTTTGACTAATGGACACACAGAGAAGCTAAAGGATTGTTTTTGCTGTTAATATTATTTCCGTTATTATAATTAGTGCTACTATTAAGATTACATTATCTTGATTTTTATCATCCTCATTATTACCATCAGCAGCAGTAGCATTGCAATTATTATCATTACTAATGTTATCATTATTACTATTATCTTTATTATTATCATCATTATTATCATCATTATTATTATCATTATTATTATTATTATCATTATTATTAACTACTATCATTATTATCATTATTATTACTATTGTTATTTCTATTTTTATTACTTTTATTATTATTATTGTTCTTGTTGGCATTACAATGATCATCATTACTATTAATGGTATTATTGAAATTATGATTATTATCGTTATTACCATCACCATCATTATTTTTCCATTCTTATTATTTTCATAAACATCACCACCATCATCCTTATCAATATCATCCCCATTATCCTAATCATTATCCATAATGTTCTCACTATTACCATTATCATCACCATCATCACCATTATCATTCTTACCACTGCCATCACCATCCCCATTATCCTAATCATCATCCGTACTGCTCTCACTATCATCATTATCATCACCATCATCACCACCATCACCATTCTTACCCCTGCCATCATCATCACCATTATCCACCGCTACCATCACCATCCTTAAAATCCTTCACAGAGAATCCAAGAAATTCGAGTATATGTGGAGAGTCTACTTGACCCCTTGGTGCCGCGCAGGGCCGTGGCTGGCCGGGGTCTGGACGGCACTGGCACTCTACGACCGGGCGTTGGCCAAGGTCAAGATCCCCAAGGTATGGCCGGCGCCTCTTTTTCTTTCTTTATATATATATATATATATATATATATATATTATATATATATATATATATATATTATATATATATGTGTGTGTGTGTGTGTGTGTGTGTGTGTGTGTGTGTGTGTGTGTGTGTTGTGTGTGTGTGTGTGTGTGTGTGTGTGTGTGTGTGTGTGTGTGTGTGTGTGTGTTTGTGTGTGTTGTGTTGTGTGTGTGTGTGTGTATCACATTCAAAATGATATGTACATCTCCCAGATATACATATATCTACGCAGTATGTAAATAACCGTGTCTTTATATTGATACATGCACGCACACGCCTTTCCCACCCCCCCCCCCCCCACCCCCCCAAAAAAAAAAAAAATCATAACTTCCTCCCATTCTCTCTTCCAGCTGGCGGTGTTCCTGGGCTACCTCGCCGCCATCTCCCTGGGGCTAGGACTCGTGCTAGGACTCTACCCTTACAACCACGTGATGCCCGACAAGTCCTACGTCGACAATCCAGCGATGTCGGCCGCTTACGGAGCGCTCGCGAGGCCGGTCTGGGGGCTGTGCGTGGCGTGGGTGGTGTTCACGTGTCACACCGGAAACGCAGGTATGGAGGGCGTGTTTATCGCTCTTTCTCTCATTCTCTATCTATCTTTCTATCTATCTCTATCTATCTATGTATCTCTCTATCTATCTATCTCTATATATCTATTTACCTCTCTATCTATCTATCTTTATCTATCTTTCTCTCTCTCTCTCTCTCTCTCTCTCTCTCTCTCTCTCTCTCTCTCTCTCTCTCTCTCTCTCTCTCTCTCTCTCTCTCTCTCTCTCTCTCTCTCTCTCTCTCTTAACTTTCGTAGGGTAGGTCTTAATTAGAGTAGGGGTCGGGTAATTAGGGTGAATTACCCACTTCCTTTCGGATAATTTCATGTTATCTATTGATGTGAATAATATTAACTATCCTTATTACAATAGTGTGAACTTGATGCATTTGATACGAATCAACATTGTCTTGAAAATATAGACAAAAAAATATATAACACTTACTTTATTTCTATCAACCTTTTCAATCGATTTACCATATAATATCTTCTCTATTTCTATATTTTTTAACCAATCTATTTACCATGTCATTTATCAATTTCTATCAAATTCATCTATCACGTTACTTGGTGTAAACCCACATCATAAAGCAGTTCTTTTCTAAGCCTTCAACACACCAGCAAAACTCTATCTCAAAATGGAGAGCGATATATATCCTTTTTCTCTTCCCCTTCTTCTTTACATACAATTTGCATTTCTTTATCTAGCCGCATTTGTCTCTCTTCTCCTCACTTCCTTTATATACAATTTACATTTTCTATATTTGTCCCGTAGATTGGGACGTATGGGAGATGTTTGGGACGATAACCTCATAACGGGGTGGTTACCCTGTGTGTTGCGTCGAGGGAGAGAGAGAGAGAGAGAGAGAGAGAGGAGAGAGAGGAGGAGAGGAGAGAGAGAGAGAGGAGAGAGAGAGAGAGAGAGAGATGAGAGAAGAGAGCGAGAGGAGAGAGAGAGAGAGAAGAGAGAGAGAAAGAAAGAAGAGAGAGAGAGAGAGAGAGAGAGAGAGAGAGAGAGAGAGAGTGAGTGGGGATGGGAGAGAGAGAGATAGAGAGAGAAAGACAGACAGAGAGAGAGAGAGAATGATAGAATGAGAGAGAGAAAGGGACATAGAGAAACCGACCGAAGGACAGAAAGAAAAAAAAGAACAATAGACAGAGAGAAAATAAAAACTAAAAAATATACACATACATATCAACCAAACCAACAGAAACATAAAAAAAAAACACAAACAACGAACAACAAACAGAAAAAAAACTAAACAAAAACATGAAACTAAATCAGGGCCCCTCCCAACAGGTGTGGTGAACAAGGTCCTTTCGTACCCTGGCTGGAGACCCCTCGGCCGCCTTACCTTTACCATGTACTTGACGGTCCCCCTTGTGCAACTCTGGTGGTCGTCTGTACAGTTCCAGCCTGTTTACTACAACTACTTAGAAAAGGTGAGTTAGAATAGAGAGAAGAGGGAAAGAGCAGGGAGAGAAAAAAGGGAGGTAGGATAAAGAGAAGAGGGAAAGGGTAAGATAAAGAGAAGAGGGAAAGAGTAAGATAAAGAGGAGAGGGAAAGAGGAGAGAAGAAAGAGTAAGATAGAGAGGAGAGGGAAAGAGTAAGATAAAGAGAAGAGAGAAAGAGTAAGATAAAGAGAAGAGTGAAAGAGTAGGGAGAGAAAAAAGGGATGTAGGATAAAAAGAGGGAAAGAGTAATTGAGATAAGGAGAAGAGTGAAAGAGTAAGTAAGGATAGAAAGAAAGGGAGGTAGGATAAAAAGAGGAAAAGATAGAGATAAGGAGAAGATAGAAAGAAAGAAGATAGATAGAAAGGGGAAGAGTAAGAAAGAAAGAAAAAGGGGTAGGATAAAGAGAAGAGGCAAAGAGTAAGGAAAGAAAAGAGAGAGGTGGGATAAAGAGAAGAGGGAAAGAGTAAGTGAGATAAGGAGAAGAGTGAAAGAATCAGTAAGGATAGAAAAAAGGGAGGTGGGATAAACAGAAGAGTGAAAGAGTAGGGAAAGAAAAAAGGGAGATAGGATAAAGAGAAGAGGGAAAGAGTAAGGAAAGGAAAGAGGGAAGTGGGATAAAGAGAAGAGTGAAAGAGTAAGTAAGGAAAAAAAAGGGATAGGATAAAGAAAAAGGGAAAGAGTAAGTAAGGAAAGAAAAAAGGAAAGTAGAGTAAAGAGAAAAGTGAAAGAGTAAGAAAAAGAGAGGTAGATTTAAGAGAAGAGTGAAAGAGTAAGTAAGGAGAGAAAAAAGGGAAGTAAGATAAAGAGAAGAGTGAAGGAGTAAGCAATGAAAGAAAAAACGGGAAGTAGAATAAAGAGAAGAGTAAAATAAAGGTAAGGAGAGAAAAGAAAGGGGGAATGTGTTATTTGGTTTGGTCTGAAATGAGGAAAATAAATATGATTATAAGTAAAGAAAGAAAATAGGGGGAAATTCACCGACTGGGGAAATACACCGACGGTCTAAATGACATAGAAAATGATGGTTAAAAATGGAAACAAAGACAGGCAAAAAAAAGGAAATTATGTAACTTGGTTTATTATAGAACAGAGGGAAAAAACAAGATTTAGAAGGTAAAAGTAAGGAAAGGAAAATAAATATGTTACTTAGTTTAGTGCGAAATAGAGAGTTAAAAATAAAAGTAAGAATGGGCAAAAAAAAGTGGAAAATATGTACCTTGGTTCATTATGAAGCAGAGAAAAAGACAAGAGTTGAAAAATAAAAGTAAGAAAAGGAAAAAATGTTACTTGGTTTAGTATGACATGAAAAACAAACAAGAGTAAAAAAAAAGATATAAGCAAGTGAAAAAAGGAAAATTACATGTCCTGGCCTACTCTAAAATAAGGAAAAAAACTGTTGTTGGTCTATAACAAAGAAAAGAGAAAAGAGTCCTTGGTCTACAATAAAACTCAGAATAGAAAAGCACACTACTTGGTCTACATGTAACATTCATTCGGGTAAAAAAGAAAAAAAAAGAAAAAATGCTCACCTCATTCGCCTCTCCTTAACGACTTACATTAAAGGAGGAAAAAAAAGAGTTGAATGTCTCGACGTCAACTTGGGAGAAAGGTACGTCCCTCTTCTCCTCCTTTCCTCTCCCTTATTCTCTTCTTCGCCCCTCCTCCTCCCCATTCTTCTCGTTTCGTCCCTCCTCTCCTCCTCTTCTCCTCCTCCTCACTTTTCCCTCCTCTTCTTCTTCTTCGCCACCTCCTCTTCCCCCTCCCTTCACCTTCTTACGCCCCCTCCACTCCTTTTCCCTCTCCCCCTCTCTCCCCTCCTCCTTCCCCCTTCCCCCTCTTCTTCCTCTCCTTACCCTCCCTCTCCCCCTTCTCCCCCTCCTTCCCCCTCCTCCTTCCCCCTCCCCCTCTTCCCTTCCCTTTCTTCGTCCTCCCCCTCCTTCCCCGCTTCCCCTTCCTCCTCTTTCCCCCTTCCCCTCTTTCCTTCCTTCCCCCTCTTCCCCTACATCCTCCTCTTCCCCTTTCCCCTCCTCCCTCCCCTCATACAAGTATAAGGCAGTTGGTCTCCTCACTCTGGCGGCGGCGACTCTGTCTTATTGAGTTCAAGTTCCTCCTCTCTATATTCATGAGAAACACGACAGCTAGGGGAAAAAACTAGGGTGGAAAGGAGTCGACACCCGATCGAGCTAAGCGAATTTTTCCCCCAAAACAACTCGAAAAGCGCAGAGAGAGAGAGAGACATCGTCGCGAGAAGATGGGGGAGGGGGGTAGAGGGGGTGATGGTGACGGGGGACGGTGGTAGAGGGGGGGCTGGTGACGAGAGACGGGGGAAGGGAGTAGGGGGACTGGTGACGGAGGAAGGGAAGGGGTAGAGGAATGGCTCGGAATCGCGGGGGAAGATGTATTAAAAGCTGTACTTGAATGGGTAGTGTGGGTGTAGGTAGATGGCTTGGTGGCTGATGGTGTGTGTATGTATGTGTACATGTGTGTGTTGTGGTGTATGTGTGTCTGTGTCTGTGTTTCTATGTGTGTGTGTGTGTGTGAGAGAGAGTGTATGGGTGTGTGTGTCTGTGTTTCTATGTGTGTGTGGGTGGGTGTCTATGTCTCTGTGTGTATCTGTGTCTGTGTTTCTATGTGAATGTATGTATGTGTAAACTAAATATACCCCTAAGAAAAAACATTTTCATATTTGCTGCAATAAGAAAGTTAACACTGTCATCTCCAGGCAAAGCACTTGCTTAATGAAATATTTACGATTTTGAGAGTGCAAAAAATTAATGAAATATTTATTGTTGCCACGCGCTTTTTCCAAATACTTTTGATATAGTCTTAAGATTTTAGTTTTTTTTCTATTTTTCTTTTTCAATGTGGTTGCATTCGAGTCTTTGTTTCGTCTTTGTTTTTGTTGTTATTTGGTTATTATTGTTGTCGTTGTTTTATAATTTCTTACTATAGGAAGGGGTGTTGAAGAGAGAAAAAAGAGGGAGAGGGAGGGAGGAAGCGAGAGAGAGAGAGAGAGAGAGAGAGAGAGAGAGAGAGAGAGGAGAGAGGAGAGAGAGAGAGAGAGAGAGAGAGAGAGAGAGAGAGAGAGAGAGAGAGAGAAGAGAGAGAGAAAGAGAGAGGAGAGAGAGATGAGAGAGAGAGAGAGCTGGGATGGGAGAGAGAGAGAGAGAGAGAGAGAAGAGAGAGAGAGAGAGAGAGAGAGAGAGAGAGAGAGAGAGAGAGAGAGAGAGAGAGAGAGAGAGAGAGAGAGAGAGAGAGAGACAGACAGACAGACAGACAGACAGACAGAGAGACAGACAGACAAAGACAGAGAGAGAAATAAAGAAATACATATAGAAAGAGAAACAGAAAAGGAGACATACAAACAAAACAAACAAGCCAATAACAAAAGAGCAGCGACGTATGAGTCCGAGAAGAGGCCGTCACAACCTCGGCTTTGTGTTTCGGGCAATGGGCGTCGAGGGACTAATTTAAGTTATTTAGGAAAATGAGTCGACATGGTACTCGGCCATTTTTCTTCTTCTGATTTTTCTTCTTCTTTTTCTGCTTCCGTTTTACCTTATTCTTATTGTTCTTAGTCTTTTTCTTCTTCTACTGCTTCTTCTCTTTTTCTTCTTCTTTCATTCTTCTTCTTCTTCTTTTTTCATTCTTCTTCTTCTTCTTCTTTCCTCTATTTCTTCTTCTCTTCTTATTCTTCTTCCCGCTTAGTGTTAATTGTTGGTGTTTCGGGCTGAGAGTGGACATTCTGTCTATCTAATCTATATACCTATCTCCTATCTCATGAAAATGAGAGAGAGGAGAGGAAGAGAGAGAGAGAGAGAGAAGAGAGAGAGAGAGAGAGAGAGAGAGAGAGAGAGAGAGAGAGAGAGAGAGAGAGGAGAGAGAGAGAGAGATCACTACGCAGAGATGGCATTTTTTTTTTCTCTCTCTCTTTTTTTTTTTTCTTTTTTCTCTCTTTTTTTGCCAAGCAGTAGTTCCTCATCTCTCCTCCAAATCATACGCAAACAAATGTTTGGCAGAAATCAGGAAGAAGAGAAATGAGGAAGGGAAGTGAGAGGGAGATAGGTATAAGGAGAAAGATGGAAATGGTTGAGAAAGATGTGTGTTTATTAGGCATGGAATATAAAAAGAACATCTTTGATTTGAATTAATGACATTCAAAACACATTAAGAAAAAACAACAGCAAACAAACAAACAAACAAAAAATCACGACCAATCTACGAACGTAAACAAACGAAGAGATTAAAAGATAAATAAATAAATAAAAACACATCTAAATACATACAAGTCAAATAAAACATCACGAAACAAATCAACCAAATGTAAAATAAAATACATCTACACATATACTAAAGAAAAAAAAACGCAAAAATACAAAAAAAAATAACTCTCACCCTTCCCGAACAGCTGTTCCAGTCGGCAGGCGTGGCTTTCATCGCAGGAGTCGTCGCCATCCTTCTCTCGTGCCTGGTGGAGCTGCCTCTTAGGACGGTCCTGGATGCGCTGCTGCCTTCTGAGGGTGAGTGCTTGGGGGAGGGGGAATAGGGTGGAGGGGGAGGGAGTGGATGGGGCGGTGGAGGGGGAAGAGAGGGGGAGGGGGGGGGGGAATTAGGTTGCAATGGGAGGGGGGGGGGTGGTGGTGGGTGGTTGGTGTGGAGGGAGGGGGGTGAATTGGGTGGGAGAGGAGGGGAGGGTAGAATTGGGTGGGAAGGGGGAGGGGATGGATGGGGGAGGGGGTTGGAGGATGGAATTGGATGGGAAGGAGGGAGGGGGAGGGGGTGGAATTGGGTGGGAGGAGGACGGAGGTTGGAGGGTAGAGGAAGGAGGGAGGAATTGGGTGGAGGGTGGAAGGTAGAGGCAGGAGAGTGGAGGGTGGAATTGGGGAGGGGGTCAGGTGGTGGGAGGGGGGGGGTTAAAGAGATGGATGGGTGAAGTGTGGGTGGATGGATAGTGTTAAGGAGGCGGGGGATAGGGTGGAGGGCGGTTAAAGGAGAAGAGTGAGGGGTGAAGGGTGGATGGAGGGAGGGGTTGAATGGATAGGGTGAGAGGGATGAAGGGTACAGGTTGGAGGATAGTGTGGGGGGGGTGGATGGATGGAGTTTTTGGATGCATTTTTTTAAAACTTAGATTGAAATAGTTTTATCAGGTCGAGGTTGTTTGCAAATACTGCCGTATGCAATATTTGCAGTCTGACCGGGCTTTTTTGGTGTGTTGGGTGGAATGGGGGAGGAGGGGGTGAGAGGTTGAGTGGGTGGGGGGGTGGAGGAGGGTGAGGTAGGGGAAGGGGCTGTCATGCCACTTACCTTGTGTATTTATTTATGTTTTGTTTTTGTTTTTTGAGTCGGGAGAATAGAGAGGGTCTTATATTTGTTCGGTTTAATTAGATCTTATTAATTATATTAATTAGATCTTATAATTGTTACTTTTTTACGCATTTTGTTTATATTATTGTAACATTTTTTGCCTCTATCACCCCATATATCTATCACTTCTGTAATGCACTTGTAAACAGACTCAATCACTCACAAGCAAGCACATACACAAATCCATATACGCACAAATACACAAATATATTCACCACTCCTCGAACACACAACACACTCTTGAACACACACTCTTGAACACACTCTTGAACACGAACGCACACTCTTGAACACACTCTTGAACACACCCTCTTGAACACACTCTTGAACACTCTTGAACACACTCTTGAAAACACACTCTAGAACACACACTCTTCAGCACACTCTAGAACACAGTTGAACACATAATCTTGAAAACACACTCTTAACCACTTGAACTCTCCATCTTGAACACACCCTCTTGAACACACTCTGAACACACACTCTTGAACGAAACACACCCTCTTGAACACACTCTTGTTCTTGAACACACTCTTGAACACACTCTTGAACACACCCTCTTGAACACACTCTTGTACACACCCTCTTGAACACACTCTTGAACACTCTTGAACACAACACCCTCTTGAACACACTCTGAACACACTCTTGAACACAGAGAACACACTCTTGAACACACACTCTTCTTCTTGAACACACTCTTGAAAACACACTCTAGAACACACACTCTTGAAAACACACTCTTGAAAATACACTCTAGAACACACACTCTTCAGCACACTCTTGAACACACTTGAACACATAATCTCGAAAACACACTCTTAACCACACACTCTTGAACACACACAAGCAATCTCGTTCCCTCAAACACGCTCTCAAGTCCATTACTTAAAGGAAACTCAAACAGATGCCTAGATTCTCTTACCTTAATGGGTCGACCAAGTTCCTTTGATAATCGTAACTGTAACTCGATAGGAAGTCGGCTAAATTAATCAAATATTTAAATGATTGGTTGATAAAAGAGATATAAAAAATGCTCATATATTAAAGCTTGCCTTTAGAACCCGTTTTTCCTAACTTATTTACTAGCCCTCCCTCCTCCTCATACTTACTCCCCCTTATCCATCCCCCCTCCCCCATTTAATCCCCCTCCCCCTCCCCCATTTACTCCCCTCCCCCTCCCTCTCCCCTACATACTTACTCCCCCTCCCCCTCCCTCCCCCACCTACTTACTCCCCCCCCTCTCCCCACCTCTTACTCCCCCTCCCTCCTCCCCCCTCCTCATTTTACTCCCCTTCACCCCTCCCCTTTTGGATCTCTCCCTTTGTTATTGCTCGTACGTGATTCATGGGCGTCTTCGGCAATTAATTAGAAGGCCAACAGCCCCCTGGATCCTCAGACGACACGCCCCAGCGGGCCATTTGACGAGCGTCCTCCGGGGAAGAATGGGGTGTTTATCGTCCGTCGGAGGTTAAGTCTCAACCCTGATGGACTTTTCTGCTCGTTAGGACGCTCTCGTACCCTCTCTCGTGGCTCGGGGGGGGGGTGAAGGGGGGTCTATTCTCCGGGGTTACCTATGGCTGGCTACCTATTTTGGGTTCCCTGTCCTGCTATTTTTTCTTCTCCTTGTTTACCTGCCTTCCTATTCTCTCTTCTCACTGGTTGCATATCGTGCAGCTTTCTCTTCTCTTTGGTTACTTATTCTGGTTTATTTATCTTTGATTGCCTATCCAGCTATTCTCTCTTCTCCTTGGTTACCTATCCTGGCTTTACCTACCCTGGGCTACCTATCCCGGGTTACCTATCCTGAGTTACCTATCCTGGGTTACCTATCCTGAGTTACCTATCCTGGGTTACCTACCCTGGCTTTACCTATCCTAGGCTACCTATTCTGGATTACCTATCCTGGCCTATTCCCTGATTACCTATCCAGCGACCTATCCTGGCTTTACCTATCCTGGATTATCTACCCTGGCTTGATACCTATTCTGGCTTATCCTGAGTTACGTATCCTATCCTGGGTTACCTCTCCTGCTATTCTCCTTCTCTGACTAAACTGTCTTCTCTCTTCTAAACTACATTTCTGTCTACCTATCTGTCTGTCTGTCTGTTTATATATGCATCTACCTGTCTATCTGTTTATCCTTCTATCCTTCCTTGCTCCACTTCTCCTATCCTTCACCTCCTGCCTTTATCTAACTATCCTGCTACCTTCCCTTAGTCTTCTTCTCCCTGGTCGACCCCCCCCCCTGCCATCCCTCCCTGACTCTCCCTCTCTCCTGATTTCCTTCCCATCCCTCTCTGATTGTCCGCTCCTTTGATCCTTCCCTCCCCCCCCCTCCCTCCTCCTCTCGTCCTTCCCTTCCTTTTCCGCTATCCCCCCCTCCTCCTCTCCTCCCTTCATTACCCTCCCCATGCCTCAATGCCCTCCCGCTCCCTCAGCACCCCACTCTGGTCCTACCCCCTGTTCCTAAATGCCCTCTTCCCTCCCTCCCTTCTCCTCAAACCTGCCTTACCCTCTCCCCTCAATTCTCTCCCATGGCCTCCCTGAACTCACTCTACCTTCTTCCCCTCCGTCCCCTCCCTTCCTGTCCCACCCCACCGCTCCCCCGCCCTCTCCCGCCCTCCCTTCCATCCCCTCCCCTCCTTCTCCTCCCTCCCCGTTCTCTCCCTCCTCCCCCCTCTATCCCCTCCCTTCCTGCCCCACCCCACCACTCTCCCTCTCTCCCCTCCCCTGCCCTCACCCTCCCTCCCTCCCCCCCTATGCCCTCCAGCTTCCTCCATCCCTCCCTCCCCTCCCTCCTGCCCCCCCCCCCCCCTGCCCCCCCGCTTCCTCCCCTCCCTCCCTTCCCCATAGCTCCCTCCCCCCCCCCAAAGCCCCACCTCGCTACGGCCTCCTGACAAGCTGACAAATGACTTCCTCTGCTCTCCTTCCGGCAGCTAAAAAACAGGAGGATCGAATCAAGCCGCAGAAGCGAGATCCTGAAAGCGGCAAATTCCTATCAACTTCCATGATGTGAGGCGAGAAGGAGGACGACGAGGAGGAAGAAGAGGAAGAGGAGGAGGAGAAGAACGGGGAGGAGGAAGAAATGGAGTGAGAGGACGAGGAGGACGATGAGAACGGGAAGAGGAAGATGAGAAGGACG